TATATAAACTTTAAATTATTAAATTTTTTAATATATAAGAATAGATATCCTTTATCTTTTATTAATAAAATATTTATATAATTTGTTGGTATAAAGGTATATATCAAATTAGATATTTAATAAGTATTTTACTATATATATATAAATCCTGTTTTTAAAGAATATATTACCTTCCATACTCAATATGATTTTTATAAATACAAAATTCTATCTTTTAAATTAATAAATGGTTTTATAATTTATTAACAATATATAAATAATATTTTATTTAACTATTTAGATAATTTTTGTATTATTTATTTCGATAATATATTAATATATTTTAAAAACAAAAATAAATATTAAAAACATATTAAATACATTTTCAAATAACTTGAATTTACTAAACTACAAACAAATCTCAAAAAGTATAAATTCAATATTAAATATATTAAATATTTAAGTTTTATTATTTTTATTAATAAAATATAAATCAATTTAGAAAAAATCAAAATAATTATTATTTGAATTTACCCTATTACTATAAAAAATATTTAATTATTTTTAGGATTTTATAACTTTTATTATTAATTTATTAAAGATTATAATATAATAATAAAATCTCTTTATGAATTTATAAAAATAAATATCAAACTTTATTTCAATAAAATCTATTAGAATATATTTGATATATTCAAAAATAGATTTATTTCTATTTCTTTTTTATAGTATTATGATTATATATTACCCTATATACTGAAAATCGATATATTCGATAATATAATCACTAATGTACTCTTTCAAAAGTATAATAATGAATAATTATTAATTACCTACTTTTCGAAAATAATAATTATTATCAAATTGAATTATAAAGTTTATGATAAAGAAATGCTTATAATTATTAAATCCTTAGATTATTAAAAAGTCAAACTTACTGAATTCCTATATCAAATTAAAGTATATATTAATTATAAAGCTTTTAAACATTTTATATTTATCAAATAGCTAAATACTCAATAAATGTATTAAATAGAATTACTCATTAATTATAATTTTATTATTATATATCATATTGGAAAGAATAATCCATTCGTAAATATACTTACCCACCGCACTAATAAATTAAATTAATAAAACAGTATTAAAAAAAAGAATTAATTATAATAGCTTATAAAAAATAATTAAATAAATATTAGAATTATATATAAATCTTTTTAATAAAATCAGATATTATTATAAACCTTAATATAAGCGTAATATTCCCATTTTTTAATATAATTAATTATATTATTAAAATAAATAAATTCTATTTGAATTTAAAAGCTTTATATAACTACACAATCAAATTATATAAATATTTTATTCTCATAAAAGAACTATTACTTTATAATAATTATCTATACATTCCGGATATCAATAACTTATAAATTTATTTGATTTACAAAGTTTATAATTTAATTTCTATTATATATTTTAATATAAAAAAAATCTATACTCTTTTAATTAAATAATATTATTAAAAGAATATGATTTTTATAATTAATTAATATATACAGAACTATTATAAATATAAGTGTAGCTCTATTTCTAAAGATTATATCCCTAATCTACTTTATCTATTTTCTATTTCTATAAAAGTATAATAATATATCACTATAGATTATTATAATTTCAATAAAGATAAATATAATTATAATAATATATTTATTATTATTAATTAATTAATTAAATAGGCTATTTTAATATTCTATTATAAGTTAATCGATTTAAAAAATTAGATCTATTTATATCTATATTATATATATAGATATTATAATATCTTAAAATTTATAATCTCTAATTATAATCCTTAATTTATATTAATCTTTTAATAAAAATTCAATAATATTTTAGAAATGTAAGTTAAGCTATTTATTATTTATTATTTATAAATTAATGGTTAAATTGAGATTTATAATTAATATCTTTAGTAATACTTATAATTCTTTATAAACTATTATTAAGATAATTAATCTAAATTTTTATTAATAATAGATTATACTTAATTTATACTTTTTTATAAATTATTAGATAATCAATCTTTATATAAAATTTTATATAATCATCTATTCTACAATTCCTAAAATTAAAAACTCAATTTTATTATATTTATTAATAATTTGAATATAATTAATACTAAAGAATATATTAAATATAATAAATTAATATTTAATTAAATAAAAAAGAATATTTTGTATATATAAAAAAAGATATTTTAATTAATTAATTTATATTATTATTTAATTGATTTTGATATAGAAAATTATATATAGTTTAATATAAGAAATTTTTCAATATAATAATCTTTGAAAAAACTAAATTATTTAATTTAGGGTATATTCAAGATTATTAATTAAATTAGAAATTCCTTTTAATTAAATCTATTATTTATTATAAAAATTCATTTTATATTTTTATTTAATAAACTTTATAAAATAATAGATAATTCATTTTCTGAATAAATTATTAAATTATTATTTTTAATTAATATTATTAATAATATCGAATAGAAAGTAAAGTATGTTTTAGTTATTAAGAAAGTATACTAATAGCTCAAATACAGAATATTATAGCTAAATGCTGATAATGACCTTATCTGGTATTCTATTTCTGATTTCAAAACTACTTTATATTTTCTTTACAATTTCTATTTACAAAATCCCTTTTTATTAGGATTTTCTGTATATCTATTTAAATAAATTTGTTTTTATAAAAATAAAAAGGATAATTATAATTTCACAAATAATAATTAATATATAAATAAGAAAAATCAAAAAAACTTTTTTTATATATCAAAGTAATAAAGAAATCATAATTTCATAAATAATAGAAAAGCAATTAGATAAAGACTAAATTATTAAAATAATAAAATAAAGAAAATCTTTTTTTTTATTTTAATAATTTTAAAACAAATTAGAAAGAAAATCTTTATAGATATTAATAGTTATAATTAGGTAAGGTATGAAAGTAAAGATTAAATAATTTAAATTAAAATATTAGTTAAATTTTTAGCTAATAATAATAATAAGAATATATAGAATAATTGTAAGTTGAAAGACAAAATGATTTTTAATTATAGTATATATAATAATAAGATTAAGTTTGTATTTAGTTATTTATAATTATTTATGAGTTATTAAAAGTTTTGCTTTTATTTATATTATAATAAATTGATATTATTATTTCAATTTGTTTTTTTATATTATAGCTTTGGTTATATAATATTCTATATTCTTTTGAGTAAGAGTAATAAAAAGTATTTCTTTCGAAATATAGTTTTTTAGTTTTTTCTATAAATTAAATTATCAAAAAAGAATTAATTTTGTTAAAAATTAGTAAAATTGTAATTTACCTTTATTATACTATTATATTCAATAATAGCTATTTAATATTAAAAAATATTTTATAAATCTCTTTAAAGAATAAGTATTCATACTTATATTTATTAATAAAATAAAGTAGGTAATAAATTTAATTAAATAATTAATTAGAAATTCAATAATATATATTATTCCCTTTATTGGAGATACAACTATATATATAATCTGTATAAATCTAATTATTTTTCTGAATATATTATTCTTATTATAATACTATCTTTTTTAGTAATCTTTTACTTAGAGATTCCAGTTTATTAATATTAATAAAATTAATATTTTTATAATAAAGTATATCGAATTTATAATTAAATTAATTTTAATATAAGATCTTTATAATCTCCTTCCCGATAATTTTCTGTTTATTATTTTTGATATCATTAAAGTGATATACTATTGTAATTAATTTGTTAGTAAATTTCCTTTTATAATTGTTAACACAATTAATTAAAGAATTATATTTTTTCTTTAAATTCTATCTAGAAATATAATGAAATAAATATATCTAATAAGCAAATCAAAGATTGATTTTATTTTTGAGGGTATTATCCTTAGTAATTATAATTACACTTATTAGATAAGCTAATTATATACCAAAAATAAATAAATAAAAAACTTTACTCACATTTCTTATTAGAGTTACGATTATTCCTATAATAGGGTTTCTCCTTCTCAAACTCCTCCCTCTCAACAGGCCACTTACCTCACACAACAGAAAAAGCAGCTGTTTTTTTTTTCACAAACTAAATAAAAAAATGAATTAATAAAGCAAATATAAAAAAATTATAAATAACTTATTGCTGTATATACATTCTCCTATTATTAAATCTATATTAATAATAGTTTATTTTTATTATTATATCTTCTTTTTAAAATCGAAAATATATTGATTAATAAATATAAGAAAATTAATTAATTAAAAAAAAGTTGAAAAAAAAGGAATTCAATTAACCTATATATTTTAAAGAATTCAATCAATTATTAAGCTATAAAACGGTTTTCTTCGTTTTGTATATGCCTTTTTATTATAAAAAAGAAAAATCTATATATATATTTGTTTATTATACCATTTTAATTAAATAATAATAATATTATTTTGTAATTACTGATTTAATAATTAAAATAAATAATTATAAAGTTTAAAAGTAAGTTTTTTCGGAGAGGGGGGTAATATTATAAATTAATATTTAATTATAATTATAATTGTTTATATACATATGTATATATATATATAATCATATATATATAATTAATATATAAATATACTCAATGAGTATTTTATTCTCAATTCTATAATTATAGATTTTAAGAACAAATTGTACCCTGCTCTCGCAGTTCTTCTAAGGCAAAGCGTCACAGTAATTAAATGATATTTAGAGTATATGAGAGTAATTTGTTATAGAGTTTAATAATATTACGGCTTTTTCATTAACTTATTATGATCTTTTAATAAAAATGGTTTTAATACTTTGTAATCTTTTTAGTGAATTTTTTTTGAAAAAATTATAAGCTTTTATTTTCTAACCTCGAAGAATTATTGGTTCTAGTGGCGTTGGTTAATCTATACATCTAGTGGTTATGTCTCTATTGACAATATGAAGATTAAAAGAGATCACGAGAGAGACTCTCGTCTGAGCCCCAAAATGTCTCATCCATTTCTAGAGCCGAGTCTTTATGTCGTAATACAGTACAAGTGCTGCTTACTCTCTCCGAATCCCTAGACGCTCGCAATTCCTTTCTAGCTTGCTTTTTTTCTATTCTTAATTGCCTCTGCTCATCTGCCTTTTTCTTTCTAATCAAGGCCACTTCGGAAGCCGCCTCCTCCTGTGCTCTTCTAGCATCATTAGCCTTCGTGTTCAATGTATAGCCTCGAATCTCGAAACCTCCAGTGATGTGTAGCGTTCTCACGATCTTTAATTCGGAGAAGTACTTGTCTTGAAACCGCTTAATTGCAGATTTTAGGGGTGGTCCCCAGTCTTTGTATTCTTCCGGTAAGAGGGCATCAACATTTTCATAATCGATTTGGGTCCGTCGAGCAAGTCTAATCCAATTTTCTTGCTTCACCATGATCGCTATGTCCGTGTGACAAAGCTCATTTCTCTCGGTATATGCTGCTATATCCCATATGATATCGGCTACCGGTACCTTTAGTTCTAAGGCAACCATTGCGAGATGGCCCAGCATTGGTGTTAATGGTGGTTTTTGCAAAAATGATCTTGCTTTCTCCTTAATCTCCTCCTCCTTCTCGATGATTTCATGGATTTCTGACCAATACTTTGCTGAATATTGTCGGTCCCATTGCGGAGATTGGTTGTAACTTATGCATCTATCCGCAACATAGTCACCGTAGTTCAGCAGTATTCTCTGCATGGCTTGCTTTCGAATTGCCTCTGCCTGGACACCCTCCATCCTTCTTAGCTCTCTTTCAGTCTCCGTAATCTTTCGAATTGCCTCTGCCTGGACACCCTCCATCCTTCTTAGCTCCATTTCAGTCTCCGTAATCTTTCGAATTGCCTCTGCCTGGACACCCTCCATCCTTCTTAGCTCCCTTTCAGGCTCCGTGATCTTTCTTTCTTTCTCTTCATTTTTCACTTGATGTGTTTCTTTTTCTTCGTTATTGACAGCGTGTAGTCTTTTCACCTCCCTTTCAATCTCCGTAATCTTTCTTTCTTTCTCTTCATTTTCCATTTCATGTGTTTCTTTTTCTTCGCTGTTGACAGCGTGTAGTCTTTTCACCTCCTTCGCCCCTTCATCAGCTACTTTGATTCCATCTACGAGCTTCTGCAACCCGCCTTCAAGCAGCTCCAATTGCTTGTAGAGCTTTCTTCTTCTCAATGTTCCCCTAAAGAGCCGATTTGGCTTCTTCAAGATATCATTCGAGACTTCAATGATAGCCTCTACTTGGCCAGCTAATCGTGGACTGATATCCCTAGACTTGATGTTCCTAGTGAACATCTCGTACACCAACTTTCCATCTTTAACATAATTGGTATCGATCTTTGATGCCGGTCGTAAGGTCTTTTTAAGGCTTAAGACTTCGATGAGTTGCTTGTCGTCAGACATATCGTTTCGATTGCTTGTGTGAGCTGATTCTTAATTGTTATTTTCAGAGACTTCAATTTCAATGTGTGGGGGGAAATGTTCTATTATGCTCTGAAATTACCTATGACTCGTCTATTATCTAGCCCCCTTTTAGTATCATCTAGCTTCTCTTTAGATTAAAGTCTATTACCAATAGTCCTCATAAACCCTCCACAAACATTATAATTACATTAGTGAAATGAGCCTAAACAGGAGGCGGTTAGAAAAGTAATGAATCAACGAATGTAGCTCAAGCCACAGGACTTACTGATATGAAATAAGGCGGAGAGAAAGGACTTGCAATATCTGAAAGCCAATTCCAAGTGGAAGGACTGAGGCTTTGGACTTATTATGGGAAGATGAGTTCGTGTAAATATGCATACTCATGTAGCTAGATTCTAGTTATTGTAAACGGCAAATTACTCTCATGCCCCCCAAAAGTCATTTACTTACTCACATGCCCTCAAATTCAGGATTGATACAATCTGCGGATTACTAGGAATATCAATAATTCAATCTTAGCTCTCTAAGTTCTAGTAGAATAAAAGAATTGAAGATTCGTAGAGGGTATCGCGTACAGGTGTTGAATCTTTCGCCCTCCGTATCCTGATGTAGAATGTAAAAATATCGATCAGACTACCTAATCATTGAAACAGAAGCTACCTATTTTTCAATTAATCTATTTACTTTCTTGCTTATAGAAAAGAAAGCCCGGTAGTTTTGTCGTCGAATTCCAAAGATACCTAGTTTTGTAAAATTATTGAATGGTCATACGCTTTATAGATCTTGCTATCTAGTTCGCATTTATCTCACAATTTGCAGAATGCTTGGTGGGACATGTTCTGGTAAATTTCTATTCTATAAGAGAGGCACTAATTTTACCTTGCGGGTATCGTCATCTATCTACATATATTCCACACATCATGCCATCATTCCAGTCTCTAGAGACACCCATTTTGCCTTGAGAGCATTATCATCTACCTGCATACATTCCATACACCATGCCATCCCAGTCGCCAGCTAAATTTTCGCTTGACCATCACTCAGACCCTTTTTCCGATTTGCAATCAGCTTCATCTGCTACATTCTTATCGAGTGTCATTGAGACATGACCATCGAAGTAATTTTTCCAGTCCTTCAAAAATTTGTAACATCTGTCAAAATCAGCGGTGTAGCAAAACCCAGTTTGCGTAAACTGAAACAACCGACGAATCCAAACACCTCTAAAATAAGTATCGTTCATGTAGTTGGGATCAGCTTGTTGCATGATCTGATCAAAATGATTTTTGATTGCAAGTTCATCTTCGGTGAGTGCTCGTTGAGGAGGAGTTTCACGGTCTCCATCCCAAAATGGAGTACGTTCATTGTCATCAAACCAGAGCCAGGTTCTCGGGACTCTAGTGATGACACGTGGGACCGACAAGGCATCATCCCAGTCGATAGTTCCAGTAATCTTCCAACGACCACTTGTAACTTGATTTTGGCTATCAGGAGGTTGAGAAGCTTCATCTTTAATATTGGCTTCACTTTCAGTGCTATTGTCACCGACATGATCAATATTGAGTGGTTGTGCGATTTCCGATGTCGAGCTTGAGCAGGGAACAGCAGGCGTTAGAGAATTATCCTTTTCAACGAAGATATGTCGAGAGCACATATCCCAATTCCACAAGATGTTTGTCGAGTCGGAATCCTTGAAGAAGTCAATCTGCTCCATCTGCTTTAAAACGTCAAAAAGCTGATCCCAAAGCCTACATACATTAGTAACTCTGGCGTCATCTTTCTTTCTGTAGTCGAGCATGTTGAAAATCAAAGATGCAAGGCCCTGCTTTCCGAGGGGTGAGGCGACGACCATGGGGTTGAGACGAAAGCCTGATATTACTGGCGGAGAATTCGATTGATGAATAGATGTGGAAACCCATGGCAAGGGCTGCGCACCAGCAAGTACACCGGGATCTTCAATGGTGATGTCCTCCATTTTAATCAAGAGTTGGGTTACAAGAGTCGTGAGTTCGAGCTTCTCAGCGAGTGGAAGAGTGGGGAAAACATCCGAGAGAGGCTGTCCAGTAATTTTTTCTTGCAGAACGAACTGAGATGCAATAATATTGTCCGCGGTGGTATCGATAGCTGCGATTGTTGGCACACAGAGAAAGTCGAATTGTTTGAGAAACAAGAGTGTGGCAACCTGGTCGCGTGTTTTATGCAATTCATAATCTTCGTATGGAGAGCGTGGAATACGGAGAACAAAATTTCGATCTTCAGACTGTCCCGGAAATGTGAGTCCGATGACTCGATTATAGCTTCCACCGCCCATTCGCTCTACCTTCGATGGAGAACCGAATCCGATGTTCTGACAAAGCTGGGCAACTTTCAACTTGTATGTTTCAAACGATTCCTGTGCAAATTCGTAGGTTGACGAAGCGCTTGATTGATTGGACTGGTTTGAACGATGTGTGACACTGGAGGATGCAAGCTTCTCATCGTCGTCTGGTCCATCCGATCCGTTCTCATCATCGTCTGGCCCATCCGATCCGTCTTCATCATCTGACTCATCCGATCCGTCGTCATCACTATCGACTTCCATGTCTGTATCAAGATCTAAGGTCTGATAGTAGGCTTCCCACTCACGAACTAACACTTTCAACATAATATAATGACTGCTTTGAGCAAATCCCTCGAGAGCAAATTTAACAAGTCGTCGAATCCATACACCTCGGCCATAAGCATCCGCCATATAATTCTGGTCTGCTCGTTGTAAAATCTGCTCAAAAGAAGATTTAAGGACAAGCTCTTCCATAGTCAATTCCCGAGCTGGCTGAATATCATTGTTGCCTAGACCCTCATGCCATTTGCTTGAGCGGTCATTTTCTTCAATCCATAGCCAGACAGGTGGAGCTCTAGTCATAACGGACGGGGCAGACAAGAGCCCATCCCAATCCAGGATACCAGTTAAAGCCCATTGTCCATTTGATTGCTTTTCAACCATGATGTTTCTAAATGCAAGATCCCAATGCCATACAACACAATCGGTGTCCGTGTTTGAGAACAACCCGGCAGTTTTCATTTCTCTTGTGATTTTCTGAAGTGAGTTCCACTGGAGGTCCATGAAGTCCTCATCGGCTTTTTTGCGTTCTTCAAAGATAGAGTCCAAAAGTGATGATAGTGGTTGCTTGTCTTGGCTGGACATGACTTCTAATGCATCATGCTGGCTGAAGCGGTAGCCGGTGACTTCAATATCAGTTGGGATGGTGAGCGGCTCATGAGAGATAGAAGGAATGGAAGGGCCTGCAACAAGTTGTCCTGGTCGATCAATCTTGAAAGTATTCAACTTCTTAATGATATCAGCAAGCAATTTGACGAATTGCATTTTCTCATCAGAAGGCAAGTCATAATAAACTGATCCAGCGTTGACTCCCTTGAGCTTTTCTTGAAGGATATATGGACGACCAATGACATTGTCTGAGGTGGAATCAAAGGCCACAACAGCGGGAACTGGCATCAATGGGGCGAGATAATGTAGAACTGCAACCTGATCTCTAGTGCTTTCATTCGTATCAAGATTTCGAGGAATGCGAAGAACATGGTCCTGATTGTCTTTGGAAGGAAGTGAAAGACAGACGACTCTATTGAAACTACCTCCTCTCATACGCTCAACTTTCGATGGCTCACCGAGACCAAGATCATGACATAACTGAATGATCTTTTGCTTGTATGTCACAAACGGCTCTTGATCGTCCCAGTCGCAGGTAGAACCCGAACCCCGAAGGATCTCGGAGCCAGAAGATTTTATCGACTCCGGAGCAGGCGAAAGATCAGAGGACACAGAATTGATAAACTCGGCACATTGTCGTAAACCTTCTAAAGTGTCTTCGGAAGGTTCTGGGACAATCGATGTTGGAAGCGACATTGAGGGGCTTTTTGGTGTGTCGTCAAGTGCGGTTTTATTGTCGCGGCCATCGAAAGAGTCGGAGTCAACTATAGCTGGGGCTGAATGTGGAGTTGGAGAGAAGCAATGATCTAAATTCGAGGAATCATTGACCATGGTGACATTGAGTGTTGATGCTTCATCGGAAACCGAAGGTGGAGGGTCTTTTTGCGTCGACTTTGAGACTTTGGATTTGAATTTGGATGCGACGTTGCGCAAAAGAGTTTTTATGGAAGGCATTTGAATGCAAAAAACTACCAGTAATCTGGCAGAGATCAAACAGCTCTTGAGTGTTGATGGCTGATGAAGAGAAGATATTTTGTGGAAGATCTCGTGTGGAAGATCTCGTTGGGTGGAAGATCTCGATGTTTATGTAGAAAATGTTATTTGGAAGTTGTTTACAAGAGAAAGAGAAAAAAAGAAGGAGAGTGGTTGGGGGGAAGCTATGTATTTAAGGACTTTGACGACGAGATGAATGTATTGCAATTCCCTTAGTGTCACACCGTCGTGAATATTGCTGTACTGACCGTATTTCAATTTTCCAAGTCATTAAGGTTCGCTCATTCACGCGCTCACCCATTAATGCCGCTGTTGAGTGAATAACTATGTATGCGCAGAGGTGTACACATCGGACGAGAAGGTAAGAGATGAATTTCGAATACCGTACCTTGCCAAATCAACGAACAGAACATTATACGGTGTATATGCGACTGTGTACGGCTCCCATTGATATCAATATTATATAATCATATACCAGAAGAAACCGTAAGAGTTGAAATTCAAATACCGTATTCTTAGAATTAAGTAACAAAACATCATACGGTATATTCACGACGTTGTATGTATGTACGGCTTTTTATCGATATAAAGAGGTACGTTTTAAATTACAAATCATCTCTGAATCATGACTCATTCTGAGTTGTACGGCGAATTTCGATTATGAATCATCTTCGAATCATGGATATTCTTGAGTCGTACGGCAAATTCGAATGACAAGTCGTTCTTGAACCATACGGCAGTCTGGAACTGTACACTATCACTGAATCATGAACCATTCTTA